ATAGTTAACATGTAATTGGGTTTAGATTTAGGCCAACCCAATCAGGGGCCAGCTAGGCCCATGTAAGGATTATGTTAGGCCCAATAAAAGGCCCAAATAGTACCCCAAGAAGTCTCACTGTCATGGCACAGACTTCGAGACTGTGTCATGCGGTGGTACCGCCAGTTTGGGCGATGGTATCGCCGAAGACAATGTCAGTGTCAAACAGACACTAAGCAGTGGTACTGCCCAGTGTAGGCCATGGTATCGCCCATGCCCGGGGAACCCAGGATAGGAAAGTTTTAGACTCCAAGTTTGAATCAACTTAAAGCCTATAAATACCCCTCTCATCCCTAGTTAAAACACAAGCACAACGAGTTTAAAAGGGGAAAAACACTATAGAAAACTCTTGTGAGAATCCTCCTTAAGTTTTATGTGTTAGAAAAGTTTGAGAGAGGAGTGAGTGCTTGTAAAGGTTGACTCCTAAACCTGTGAAAAGGAGTAGAGGGGTGTAAGAAGGAGGTTAATCTTCGCCTATTAAAGGAAGATCGATAGTGGATGCTGGTGGCCTCGACGGAAGAGGAATCGATGGAGTGGATATAGGTCATGATGACCGAATCACTATGAAACTACCGTGTTCTCTAGTTTGCATTTTATTCTTACTATTGCCTTACTACAAACCTCCTTAAGTGCTTACTGCCTTCAATTCATTATGTACACTTTCAAGTTAAGTTTCTGAAATCGGTTTTAAATCAAAAACGATTTTTATCGTATGAAAGATTTTTCGAAACCGATATTTTTATCCGCTGCACTAATTCACCCCCCTCTTAGTGCCAACCTCTTGATCCTAACAAAGAGGAATCGGGAGTGGACGTAGGTCACGACGACTGAACTACTATAAATCTAGTGTACTCGGTTTGCATTTATGTTTTGCTTTTCATTCTTATATTACAAACCAATTTACTTGCTTACTACTCTCACTACGCTTACGAACTTGCTCTCAATTTAAATTCTTTCCGATACGATTTCATCAAACGAAGTTTTTAAACCATCATTTTTATGAAAGTACTAATTCACTCCCCCTCTTAGTATTAATTTCTGCCATAACAAGTTCAAGCAACATGAGAGATTTGAGATACTAGCACATAACAAGAAAGGTATTTTCCTTTATCTAAAGAATCCATAAGAATTAATATGAATCAATACAACTTAGTTGACCCTATACTAGAGTCAGAGTCATTGACAATTTAAAGCAACATAGCATATCAAAGTTTGATTACCCAACAACAATGGTGAAGAGCAATTTGGAGTCAAGAGGTACGTTGTAATTGGAGCAAAAGATTAAAGATTTAGTAAAGGAAAAGAGATATAACATATATAAATGCTTCAACAAGAATGTCGAATGAATATATGGGAGAGAATGTCATGGACAAAGTTGTAAACATGATATTCGATATAATGCTCATATATGCCTATATCTTTTAGTTTTGTTTATGCTTTACCCAGCTTGTAAAGGGCTTGTAGTAAGCTTGGCAGCCCTATTTTGATTGGCTTTTATGGCCATTTCAAGCTTATAAATATAAGTTGTATATAATTGTCTTGTAAAGGTAAAGCTACCCAAAAATAAGCAATCTAGGCAATCATTTTAAGGGTTTTCTAACTCCGTATAGTAGTGTGGATTGTTAGCAAATAAAGCACTCAGGAGCTACCTAAGTGGCACAAGGCTAGATGGGCTTTTGCGGTAGTGTCTAAGGCTAGTTCACTACCTTATTCCATATCAGTTTCATGTGGGCATTTATAGGGACTTTTGATTGTGGGAGATTATCTTGAACCATTTGTCGCATAACTGTTTAGAGCTTGCAAAGTTTATATTATAATTTATATTATCTATTAGGTATTTACTGAATTGACTACCTATAGATCTCGAGTTAAATATTTTCTTTAACCCGTCTTCTCTTTTGTAGGTTTTTAAGGGATCATAAGATATTTTGGGGATGCAGACCCTTTATGGATAGATATGCAAAAGTACTATATAACTTAGGCAAAACCAACTAAGTCTATCATAGAGTAGCAATTTGATTATGATTTCTATATTTTAGAAATCAAAACTACCTATTTGAACCGTTGATTAAGCAATTTTTCTCTAAAAAGAAGTATTCAATCAATAGGTTGTTGACTAGCCGTTATACTTAGATTGAGCCCAACGGTATGCACCTAACCCAAGAATTGGTAGAAGGGAAAATGACTAGTTTGCCCCTCCTAACAAACATAAACGATTATATTCAAGGGTATTTTGGCTCTTTTATAATTTAAAATTAAAATAAAAAAAGATATATTTGCCCCTTCCGATAGCCACATTACAACTAGTTTTGAGGGTATTTAAAGCTACATTAAAACAGCCACATTATAATTTAAAGCTCTCTTCTTGATCCTATACTTCTTAATCCTATGACAAGTGGAAGCCAGAGTTCACAAGGAGACATTTGAAAATTTGATCATGGCATCACACGAAAGCCAACACATCAACATCGATATTGATATAAAAAAAACTAATACGATGATCAAATTGAAGTCAAATATCTTCGAGGTGTACTTTAAAAAGGCTTGCAACGTCGATAGCTCTTTCTATGTTATATGTAATTATTATGACCAAATTTTTAATTTCAAAAGAGGACGATATCAAAATTCTGAAAGTATATTGAGAAAAACCATTCAACACAAGTCAGTACGAAGAGGAATCAAACATAAAGTTTTGGGCACCTTACTTCTCTCACTTTTTATTTTTTTATTAAAAAATAATGAAGCATTAGTTACATTAATTACTGTTGAATATTTATCTTTTAGTTTCAATAAAAAAATTAAATTTGTTTATTATTGTCGATAGTCCTTAAATCCTATTGCACAATGAGTTTATCATACCACTCTTATTCACATTTACATAAATTTTATAAAAAAATTATAGAATTTTTTTTTTGGACAATCATGTTTCTATTTATACTGATATTTAGAGTGATCACTAAAAAATACACTCTTACATAGGAGTCACTTGTCATTAGATAGACAATGATTAAGCCATGCAAAATTATATTTTGCTTTTAGAGTTTTCGATAAACAATATGCAATCGATAATATTTATATAATGATAAAAATAATTTTAGAAGAATAATATTATCAAATAAAAATAATTTGATAATGCATTACTAATGCTGCTTTTATTCTGAAAGTACAAGAAGCTTGTCAATATGCTTTTAGTAATACCTTTTTTTTTTATATTAGATGTGTTTCTTATATTTTGAATTTATGTGTACAAGATAGACCTAGTTCTGTTGAAAATTTTTTTTCTCTTATTAAGTAAAATATTTTATTCTTATAGTGTCATCCACAAGTAATGAAAGGATGGGCTAAATGGTAAAAGGCCCAAAAGATTTCCTTAAGGATATTATGAAATTCTACATATGAATTATTTAAAGAATCTTTTGAATATAAAATTTATTGTGTACTTTTATTACAAATAATGTTAGATAAGTTTGTTGACATCCATAGCGTTGGAATGTGCGAAAGAATTCTAAAAATTTTAAAAGTTTTTAATAATGCGGCATATATTTTGTCTAGTATTTATTATCCTATTGCACATATTTTTTTAATTGTTTTTATTAATATTGTTAGTACATTAGAATAATATAAAAATAATAATGATTTAAATATAACAATAATGACTATGAAATTAAAACAAATATATTATTTTTTAAAAATTTCATCGATTTATTTAGTTGAATGTGTTTTTGATCATCCTATTCAATTAGGTGGCTTAGGTGATTATTTATCTATTTATTATGAAAGTTTAGGAGTAGATGTTTATATTGGTGAAATATTAAAAATTAATCAAACTTATATGTCCATTATAGTGCTAACTAGAATGGAGAATATGATATCTCCGAAACTTTTGTATTTAGTGGGGTAGTAAAATCTTTAAGTTAGAAAAATTATTAGTATAAAGATAAAATACAAGGAGATCCTTAGGCTCGATTTGATATGTATCTAACAACTTTTTTTGAGTTTAGTACAATATAGACTTTTCCATTTTAGATTGATGGTAATGCTATATACAATAGCATTTCTAATATTAGTGAAGGCTGCGAGGCAAATACTAGTGACTCCAATACTGATGATGGCTGTCCAATAAGCTTTAGATCCTAGATGGACCTAAATGGAACATGACCCTTGAATTAGTAGAAGCTTAAGCTTGCATCAATGGTTAGATAAAGGCAACAAAACGGAACCAAGAGATCAATATTAAATATTAAAATGTCGGACATACTAAATATTTATAATTTTACTTAAATGTATACTAAGTTTTTTTTTGTTATGTCATTACACATTTACACTCATTAAGTCATTACGGATGTATATCAATTTTTAAAAAATTTAAAAATAAAATTATAAAATTTTTATATTATAAATTATTTTAAAAAATATTAAAAATTATCAATTCAAATTGAAAACGAAACCGGCCGAACCAGAATCGCAATCGGAACCGACAATTTCGATTCCGGTTTCGGTTCCAAGACTAGCCATTGTTGGTGCAGTTTCGGTTTCTGGTTTGCCAAATCAGAACTGATGGTTCCGGAACCGTGGTGAGGCATAAGTGAGAGGGTATAAAATGGTTTTATGTTTCTAAAGCAAACACAAAATCATGTCGTGGCCTACAACAACATGAAGTCTATCTTCGGCAAATCCAAACAATAACTACTCCTTTTTGTTGGCTCTACCTTTCGTTTCTTCACCTGCATTCCCGTAATACCGGTTTCCTATCCACACCACACATACAAAACCATGCAACTGATCCCATAAAAGGAAAACATTTCGAAGCGTCAGAACTTACCCCAAGCATGTCACCTTAGTTTTATAGCTGCAGAGAACCCACAACCATTCCCTATCATTGTCTCGTCTTCCTCAATTTTCTTCTTTCATCTTACTATTTTATTGGACAAATGAGATCGTCTAATGCAGTCCTTGTTGTGGCATGCTTGGTCCTCATCTCCAATTATGCCTTTGTCATGGCTGCCGGAGGTGAATACAACTACAAGGATGCGCTTACCAAGTCGATATTATTCCTCGAGGCACAAAGGTCCGGCAAGCTCCCACCCAACTCTAGGATTCTATGGAGGGATGACTCTGCGCTCGATGATGGAAACCTCGCCAATGTTGGTTTTGTGATTCCTTTTTGTTTTGGTTACATGTTCTTTGGACATAACATCAATTTTGTGTCGATACAAATATTGCAAAGATTTAATAAGTTTGATTTTTCTATGGGTTTGTCAACTCAAGATTTATTACCGAAATTTATGTATACATGAAAAGCCTTTTATTGTTATTATTATTTTAACTCTTCGTGAAGGGGATTGTAAGGTTGTCGATAACTTGCTTGCGAAATATATAATTCAAATGTTCTGTTTCTTCTGAATTCATCACTTAACAAAATGTCTGGTTTGCTTGCATTTACAGGTTATTTTTAATTTTTCTTGTGTACGTACGTTGGGAGTACATTACTATTCTCTACACAAGAAGCCCCTCTTGAATAATTGCAAGATAATCAAAGTGGAATTACTTCTGATGAAAGAAAATTTTACTTTTATTTACTTTCTTTAGTTGCAAAATTTCCTGATCTAAAAGCCATTCTTGCTTTTCCTCCAATATAACGTCCGTCTTATTGCAGCAATCCGCTGGCTCACCATTTATTAAGCAAGCGAGAGAAATCTGCATATATGAGTGAGAGTTGATAGGAACTCCTGAGGTCAATTTTGCCTGTTTATATTCAGTCAATCCAACGGCAAATGGTATATCTATGAACATGTATGCTTAATAACGTAATTGTGTGTGTGTGTGTGTGTGTGTGTGTCAAAGATTTATTGGAAGTAGTCCAACAAACAGTTTTTGGATTTTTATAAATCTCATGGGATACACTGAACTGCACCAAAGCTCATTATGCTCATCTTCTCCTCTGTTATGAGCGCAGGTGGACTTAGTGGGAGGGTATTATGACGCAGGAGACAACGTGAAATATGGGCTACCTATGGCCTTCACCATCACCACTCTAGCGTGGACGGCACTTGCTTATGAGTCGGAGCTATCAGCTACAGGGGAGCTGGAGAACGTATACGCTGCTATCAGCTGGGGAACAGATTATTTCCTCAAAGCCAGTGCAAAGAAGAATCGTTTGTGGGTTCAGGTAATAATTGTCACAGTGCAGTACCAAATTCCTTATTAGTTATCAACTGATACGCTTCATACTTATTTCTTTGCGTGTCGTGGATGGTTTTATATATCTTTTCGTATACACGTACAGGTGGGAGATCCGGTGGCTGATCATCAGTGTTGGATGCGGCCTGAGAACATGAAGACCCCAAGAACACTTTACAAGATTGATGAACACACGCCGGGTACGGAGATTGCGGCGGAGACAGCCGCTGCCATGGCTGCCTCTTCCATTGTTTTCAGAAACCATAACCGCACTTACTCCAGGCAGCTCCTCAATAAAGCAAAACTGGTGCGAGTTTCCCGTCTTTGTTGGATAATAATAGCATATGGAGGACCCTTTTGATTAAAATATGATTCACTTAATTACACTACAGGCACTCGTGTTGACTGATGCATATCAGGTTTAAGTGTGCACTAACTCTTCTGCTTTCTTTTTTCTAAATCTTCGAAGCAGCTCTACGAGTTTGCTAGAAATCACAAGGGAACTTTTGATGGAGAATGCCCATTCTACTGCTCTTATTCTGGCTACAACGTATACTTCTTTCCCTTTGTTTATCTCAGCTTCGGCATAGTTACGATATGATAACAGGAGATTAATTATAGCGAAACAATAACACAACAACAAGTAAAGAGTTAGGTGGGCTTAATGTGTGATTCTGATGGTGCAGGATGAATTATTATGGGCTGCTTCATGGCTCTACATCGCCACCAAGAAGATTAAATATCAAAAACACATCACACAGGAGGGCATATCCGCAAGCGTCGCTGAGTTCAGTTGGGACCTAAAATATGCTGGCGCTGAAATCCTTTTGTCAGGGGTAGAAATCTCAAACTCTCCTTGCGTTTGATGACTTTTACCTAATCCATGGACCGTCGTCTCTGTAGAGAAATAAATCTGCAATAGTAAAACACGAACATCATCACTATAGGAACATACAAACATCCCAAAATAAAAAGATTAGTTGTACAAAATACATCCGTCTAAATGAATTTATAATTAGCCTAATTATATTTCATACATCGCCTTTATTCTTCTTCTTCTTATTATTATTCTGGGTATAGGTACATCTAACCGAGGGTGGACTTCACAATTTCAAGAGACAGGCTGACAATTTTGTCTGTGCGGTGCTACCTGATACTCCATTTCACCAAGTGTATATATCTCCAGGTTTGTGCAACAACCGATTTAATTTACAGAAGAATTAATGGAAGTCAATAAGAAGAATACACCAAAATTCCATCAACTTACAAGATAAACGGTTCAAGTTTTGAGATACAGAAGTTGGTGGATGACAATTTTAAGCACCAATATTCTATTATATCTCAAAACAATAAAAATATCACGCGGAAGCTTGCTTCTTTCGTAAAATAATAATAAACCTATGCATATGATGCATGTATCTGCCTTATATATATATATATATATATATATATATATATATATATATATGGTAAGAAACTGCTCTCTTCTTGATCATGTTTTCCCCAATGCATGCAGGGGGATTAGTTCATCTCCGCGATGGAGCCAATACACAGTATGTAACTGGCACTGCATTTTTGTTCGGTATCTACAGTGACATTCTTATCAAGAACCACCAAACAGTCTCGTGTGGCAACCAAGTGATCCAACCTTCTCGTCTAACGGAATTTGCTAAGCAACAGGTCACCTTACTATTACACTTTTTTGCATTTGGTCTTGTCTTCTACTGCAATTATTTCGAGAAACAATGGAGGACTTTGTCTTGATCGATGCACAAAAGATGGATCGTATTAACCCTGAAATATCACCTGCTGCTTTCCAATGGATGCGCAGATGGACTATGTCTTAGGCAGCAACCCAAGGGGCAGGTCATATATGGTAGGCTTTGGTGCCAACTCACCGACGCAAGTCCACCACCGTGGTTCGTCGGTGCCGGTGATGTCGTCCGACAAGACCGTCAGCTGCTCCATGAGCTTCGTGAACTGGTACAACAAGAACCAGCCCAACCCCAACGTGTTGACCGGAGCCATTGTTGGTGGGCCTGATCGCTACGACAACTTCGATGACCAGAGATGGGACTCATCCAAGCTGGAGCCCACCACTTACATTAATTCCCTTGCCATTGGCCCACTCGCCAAGCTCGCCATCCATGGCTCTTGACCTCTCTCTCTCTCTCTCTCTCTCTCTGTGTGCAGCAATCATGGAAGGGTATCAGGATTCTATAATGAGAGCAATGAATGTGGTGGAGCTCTCTCTCTCTCTCTCTCTCTCTCTCTCTCTTTCTCTCTCTCTCTCTCTCTCTCTCTCTCTCTGTGCAGCAATCATGGAAGGAAGGGTATCAGGATTCTGTAATGAGAGCAATGAATGTGGTGGAGCTCTCCTTCCCCTCCGAGCTTAGGCATATCAGCTGATCCACATACTATGAGCTCCTTGACCTCTCTTGCATGTCGTCGAGTTTGTGTATCAGTTAGCTTCTGTGGTTTTCTTTCCTAGAGAAAAAAAGAACTTCATATATATCACAAAATTCACCTAAATACTTCACGAGTAACATCTTCCTCATGGACTTCAACAAAACTAGCAAGAGCTTCCCTTGTCCTACCTAAATATATAGCAAAGGTTGATAACATTTCCAAACAGGGCAAAAAGAGAATAACTGTTCCAGAAACATCTTAAAATATCAAGGATTATGTTTATAGATCATTGTGGTTGAATGGATCTGACTTATAAACAACAAAAATACTTTTCTATGAGACTTCGTTTGAGTTTTAAGAAGAAAATAATAATAAAATATCTTATGTTTATGCTGAAAACACTCGTATGTGCTCCCATTAACACGATGAAAACTTGTTGGTTTAGAAAGCAGACGAGACTGTTACCCCCATCTCTCAGACAGTCATCTCCACAGATCTATGATCTTACGCTAACGTGGACTCCACAGAAAATGATTTTTTTATCATGATATGCATGCTGCCATCGCCTCATCCAATAATACTTTTAAGATTTGATTGTAATTATTTTTATTTTTTAAATTAAGAAAATGACTGAATCACCCAAGCGGGGTGGGTGGGGATGGGTTTGGGTGTGGGGTTTTGGAGGGTTTCTTTTCATTTGACGTCCTGCTTTCTGGATTGCTATAGTCTATTCAAATTTTGAATCCTATGTTAAAACGCCTCTTTATAGAAAGCCTGGCAAACTAGGTAAATAAATAACCAAAAGGGACATGATGCCTTTGGGTTTACATTGTTTCTATTTATTCTCCTTATCATTTATATTTGTTGTTAAAATTTTGAAAGAATTACGGATTTTAAACATTATTTTGTCCTACTGACTACATCAGACATTGTTTCGGTCTCCTGCAGACATTGTTACTAAAACTTCAATAGTTGAAGAACTCCAACGGATGCATGAACACCATAAAAGAAGGGCCTATTTATATAACTTATCTTTTACATATGTATCACCATCAACACACGGCAAAACTTCCACAATGATAAAAGTCTAATTTTAAATTACCCTAGTCGAAAATTACACTATCGATTCCTGCTAAACAAATCTGCAGCTTCAGTGGGTCAATCTTAGCCCAACCAAAGCCAACCCGCTCTTTAACGGGCTCGTATTTGTATATAATTTTATGAAGCCTGACTTTGGCTTGTGCTTACAAAATGAAACCCGATTTAAATTTTGGCCAAGCTCAAATTTAGGAGGCAACCGAACCAAACTGTGCTACATTGTTGATTGCTCATTCTTATGAAAAATGTAAAATAGAAAAAAAAAAAAACAATCATAGCTCTTTTCTGTTTCTTATGACAAATGGGAAAAATTAGTCAAATAAATCGAAGTCATTGATACCATTCAAGGTAAAATATTATGAAATGATCATATACAGCGGTATAGGTGACAAATCAAGAATAATAGTTCGAATTCCAAAGAATGATAGCGCAAACCCAAGCCAAGCTCCTTGCAAGGATAGTTCGGTCATCACTTGGCAGCAGGTTAGCTTCAAATGACTAATGTATTCATTTTGAATTGTTTATGATATATATAATTTTTTTTAATTATTTAATATAAAATTTATTTAATAATTTTTTATATTAAATATTTTATTTTGGAAGCTTAGTGATAGGGATCTAATTATGAATCCTAAGAATTTAAATAAGATTTATCAAAGTTTTCATATTAAGTTAGTCGAAAAAAATAGAAATAAAAAACATATGTGACTAGGTAAACTAAAGAGCATACTACTCATACTATTTTTTTTTTACACCTATGACTTTTTGTTGCATACTTGTCATATTATAATATTTTATGTTAGTTAAATCTAAGTAATTAGAGAAGAAAAATAAAAAAATATTAAATTAAAAATATGTTATCATTACTTTAGTCTAAGACGAGAAGAGTAATTGAAAGAAGAAGAAGAAAAGTGTTCCTTGTTGAATCTCGAATTTTGATGATGAAGTCAATTATCATTTGTTGATCTAATCTATATGTTGAGAAAAGTATGTATGATTAACTACGATAACAGTAAGATATGCAACAAGTGTTATGCTGGAGTCAAGACCAAGATCACATTGGGAGTTCGAGAGTTCGTTGAAAGTTCGGACATTCATCGAAAATTCTACGGGAACCAGCCGAGAAGTCCAGGAGCTTGCCATAGAAGCTCGTTAGAACTCACCAAGAAGATCGTCGCAAAGTCTAGGAGCTTACCGGGAGTCCGCCGGAGCATCACCAATTGTTCATCGGATGTTCGCCGGAAGTTCACCGGAAGCTCGCCGAAGGAAGCAATTGCTGCACCGGAACACGAATTGCAGTAATGATGTCTTAATTGTCGTAGTTAGAGTGTAGATTAAGTTAGGATTGGGATGTGATCCCACTAACTTAATCAGGGGCCAACTGGGTCATTAACAGACCCAAATTGGGTCGAATGGAATAGCCCATTCGGTCCTTGAAATCTTGGCTGGCGGTGGCACCGCCTGGGATACTCGGTCTCCTAGGATTTCTGGGTGGTGGTACCGCTTATGTCAGGCGATGGTACCGCCTAAGCTCGGTCTTTGAGCGCTGTCAGGTGGTAGTACCGCCCAATGCCCGATGACAGGCAGTAGTACAGCCCAATAATGGCGGTGGTACCACCAGGACCCCGAAAATCCGGGAATGGATACTTTTAGGCTCCATTTTTGAACTCATTGGGGTCTATAAATACCCCACCCTTTCCTGCATGAAAGGGCAACGCAATTCTTGAAATACTCTTGAGTCTTGAGGCCTTAAAGTATTGTAAAAGTTAGAGTTCTCCTTTTTTATAAGTGTTGAGATCATCCAAGAGACGAGTGAAAACTTGTAAGGGTTGTCTCCTAAGCCCGGCAAAAGGAGAAAAGCTGTAAAAAGATCGTTGGCCTTCGTATATTGAAGGAAGGCCTCTAGTAGATGCTGGTGATCTCGTTGAAGGAGGAAGCCGATAGTGGATATAGGTCACGTTGACCGAACCACTCTAAAATCTCGGTTTGTATTTACTTTGAGCATCTTTCCTTTATAGCAAACTGCCTCTCCTCCTTACTATGCTTTAAATATGTCTACAGTCGCTTTGACGTTAAACATCTTTTGATATCGGCTTTCTACGAAGACTTTATGAAATCTACGTTTTTTCATTTGTGTGATTTACATTACTGCAAATCACCTTAGTCCTCTCTTATATTTTTACTTAAGACTTCAAGCTCAAATTCCTTCCAAAACGAATTGAGTTGAAATCATTCTCGTTGAATCGGGTTTAATCGAAACAAGATTTTTGAAATAGCGAAAGTTTTCTATTGCACTAATTCAAACCCCCCCCCCCCCCCCCTCCTTAGTGTGCGCTTGATCCTA